CAGTGTCCTGCAAGGCTACATATGTGGCCCAGGACTTCACTCTGAAATCCACATTGCTGACTTTTCCAAAATAATTGGAAGAGAAAGTCCTGTGTTTGTTCCTAGTGTCACCCAGCTGGAGTCAGGCAGCAGCTGCACACCTGAGGTGACAATTTGTTCCCTGGTCTGACCCAGTCCTCACCACCTGGAAGCTTGACTCAGTCGCTGTACCTGCCGGGCCCCTGGGCGGAGACTCTGTGATCTCTGTTCTGTGGGTTTGTATAGTAGAATCCTCTGTGGAATTTTATCATCCCAAAGATGGAGTTCTTCCTTAGGCATAACTAAATTTGATGTAGTTTAATTTTCTCAGGTGTAATTTAATCTCCCTTTAATTTCCCTCCTCTTATTTAATCATTTCTGGGTTTAATGTTCTCTTCATGATATATCTCTTAATCATCATTTTGGTCAAAGCTGAAGCACTCTAATTTCTTGATTACCCTTTCCCCATGTCCTGCTATTTATCCCTTTGACCTTCCATGTCAGTCTTATTGGGACACTCCAGTTCTCCTTCACCCTTTAAGAGATATCTGGAAATGAACTAGGTAAAAGGGATCCAGGTATTAGAATTGAAATATCCGGACAAACAGAACTTCAGTCTGAAGTAGATGGAGTGTGCTTTGCCCCTTGCAAGTTAAAAATCATTGTCACATTCTTAGCCTATGAGGTTTTATTGAATTTCTAGGGCTGCAAGTTGCATACACTCCTAGGGCCAGCTGTAGGACTCATTCTCATAGACTCGCTGTCCTTGCATTGCTAGGAGTAAGCTAAGAGAGAAGCTTGGTTAATCTTCGCATCCTCCACCTGCAGCAATTTGCCTGCAGTGGTATTTCTGGGTGCAACTGCAGACATTATTTCAGACTCCGACACACCCCCAATTTGATAGGAGCTCATTGATGGCAGATGGCAGGCAGCCTTCTTTTACTGCTGTGTTGCTCCTTGCTTCACCTTAAATAAATTTGCCTTCCTTAACTCATAAAAAAAATAAAGAGCTCATTGACTTTGGATCAGATTTTTGGCTTCCATTTGTAATTTTTTGTTTCCATTTGTAATAATCGTATTACTAATGCTAATGATGACAAGCAAATGTCCACAGAACTTACACTGTGTCTGGTCCTATCCCATGTGCTTCATATGGTTCTGGTCAAAGTGACAACCCTGTGACACAGGCATGATTACAATTCCAATTTCTAGCAGCAGGACAGAGACTTGGGACTTGAAGAGATTAAGAGGCTCTCCACTAGGATTGGATTTGAACTTGGACAGGCTTCTGTTCCAAAGTCCTTGTGCCTAGCCGGGCTTGGTGGCTCAGCCTGTAATCCCACGCCTTTGGGAGGCTGAGGTGAGTGGATTGCCTGAGCCCGCGGGTTCAAGACCCGCCTGGGCAGCGAGACCTCATCTCTACAATAAATCAAAACATCAGCCAGGCGTGGTAGTGCATGCCTGTAATTCCAGCTACTTGGAAAGCTGAGGCGGAAGGATCACCGGAGCCAGCAGGTCGAGGCTGCGTTGGCCCGGAGCAGCCACTGCACTCCAGTCTGGGTGACAGAGTAAGACTCCAACTCAAAAACAAAACAAAACAAAACAAAAAACCAAAGTCCTTGTGCTTATTCATTACTCTATACTGCCTCTCTTTTTTCTTAGAAAAAATTAAAAATGGCAATATTTGGAATCACTAAAATATTGTTTGAGCTAAATGTATTGTTTTCAATTTTAGATTACTGGCGATTATAGTCCTTCGAGCCCCATTTGCCTAGTGTAGGGAGACATCTGGTGGTCATTTTCGTTTTTTTTTTTTTTTTTTTTTTTTACTTTTAAATAAGGAAAAACTTCACATTTGCAAAAAGTAAACAAAAGAGTCTGGTTTAGTCCCCACTATACCCACCACCTAGCTTTAACAATTAACATTTTGTCATTCTGTTTTCATGTATACCTTCAGTCACTCTTCATCCTAACCCTACCGAATTGTTTTGTATGATTCTTTTTCAAGAATAAAATGTATATGTATTGAAATATACAACATTCTAATAATGTATCTTGACAAATAGATAAGCCCATGTAACTCACAGCCCTACCAAGATAGAGAACATTTCCCTCACTCCAAAAATGTCCTTTGCCTGACAAACCCCCAACCAGGCAACAATTGTTCCGATTTTTCGCTGTGGATTAGTTTTGCTTGTCCTCGAATGTCATATAAATGGAATCCTACAGTACCCATTCTTTTGTGCCTGGGCTCTTTCACTCAGCATAATGTCTGTTAGAGCCATCCATGCTCTTGCGTGTACCCGTTATTTCTTTTTTATTGCTGCACTCATTCTATTGTATAGATGGACCATATCCATTCTCCAGTTGATGGATATTTGGATTGTTTCCAGGTTGGGGCCATTCTGAATAAAGTTGTGTATGGGCTGAACTTCACATTCAGGTCTTTTTGTGGACATCTATTTACATTTCTTGTGTAAATACGGGAATAGAATTGGTGGATCAAAGGATAGAGACGTAGCTCTCTATCATTAGAAACTGCCAGATTGTTTTCCAGAGAGATTCCCTTTATATTCTTGCTGGCAGTGTAAGAGAGTTTCATGTGTTACACATCCTCACCGGTATTCAGTGTTGTCAGTCTTTTTAATTTTAACTATCCTGGCAGTATCACATTGTGGTTTTAATTTGCATCTCCCAGATAATGTTGAGTACTTTTCTACGTACTTATTGACCATTTGTCTATCTTCCTTTATGAAGTGTCTATTCAAGTGTTTTGCCCAATTTTTATTGGGCTTGTCTTTTTGTTATTGGACTATAGTTATCTTTTATTATGGATACAAATTATTTGCAGCTACATATCCTGTGACTGTTTTCTGCCACTCTGTGGCATGCCTATTCATTTTCTTAAGTTTCCTGATGAGAAACTTTATATTTATGAAGTCTGGTTTCTTATTTGTTTTATTTTATCATTATTTCCTCTTGCATCTTGTCTAAGAAAGCACTACCTTCCACTGGTTACAAAGTTATTTCTCTTTTCTTCTAGTAGCTTTATAAATTTTACATTCATATTTAAGTCTAAGAGCAATCTCAAGTTTATATATGTAGGAAAAGGTAAGGATTAAAATACAGTTTTTATTCCTTATGAATATCTAGTTGTTCCTGCACCAGAGACTGAAAAAAATGTCCCATCTTTGCACTGAATTGTTGTGATAACTTTACTAAAAATTGATTGACACAGTCTTGATTGTGTAAAATTAAGAAGTATGAGTTCTCTAGCTTTGTTTTTCTTTTGCAAGGTTGTTTTGGCTATTCTAGGACTTGTACATATTCCCATGTGCTACTTTACTGCCTCTCAGATCCACATTCACCCTTCAGCACCTGCTCTGTGATAACAAACTGGACTTTGTAAACATTTCTCCTTGCAGTGGGCACAATGTTATTTTTGTCACTAGAGGTCACTGGAGAGATGCAATAGCAGGGGAGTTCAGTTCCTACTTCCTTGTGCTATGGTGTGTTTCTTGTTTTCTCCATAGTCTGCTGCACAGTGGGTGAGACAAGCACAAACTGTGTGCCCAGAGTACATAGTCCATCCTGTCTTCACAGTTCTGGCCAAGGGCTTGGTGAACAGTTCACCACAGCCCTCCCCACCCAGGCCTCACACACTCTGGGCCTGTACCTACTCCTACCCCTACTTTTGATGCAATCTGCCTTTGGACTCGGCTTGCCTGTGCCCTGGAGAGTTGATTACCTTGGCCCTCCATGGCCTCCCGCCCCAGCAGTGTCTGTGCCCCGGAGGGTTGTTCCTGCTGTCTGGTGGCCACGGACCAGCTCTGGCCCTGGTAATCCGATGAGACTCCTGCCATACCATGGGGTGCAACAGCACCTTCTCTGGTGAGATCTGAAGCCCAAACGTGGGGAGGGACACTCGAAATCTTGTTCTTCCTTGAGTGCTCCTCTGTAACAAGAAATTCCCTTTCTGACCCGAACTCCTGATCACTCATCTAGAGATTACACAGAGAGTTTAGACAGTTAACATCTGTTGACTACATGGCAGTCAGGAGAGCAAACTCTGCGACAGGCTGTCTTGGTTCTTATCCTGACTCTGCCTTTTGGCAAGTCTTGGGCATGGTTTGTAGCATAACTGTGCCTCCGTTTTCTCGCCTGTAGAATGGGTGTAGATAATGGTACTTGCTTCATAGGGTCAGAATGAGGAATGATAAGAGACAGTACAAGTCAAACGTTTGGAATAGTGCCTGACACAGTAAACGCTCAGTTCCTGGTTCCTGTCTGTTGCTGTTATCCAGCAATGGGCTCACTTCCCAACATGCATGAAAGCCAACACTAGGACATCAGCTTTCGAGAGAAGAAAAAGCTCTATTGCGAGGTCCACCATCATTGTCTCCTAGACATTGCTCACATGTGTCTCCCTGAGCTGGAGTCTGGGGACAGGTTTTGCAGGCAGAGAGTAACTGGGAGGAAGACAGGAAAATGTAAGCAGGCTTGATCTGATCTGACTGGGTTATGCCAAGAAACGTGCTGGGTCTTTGGTTTTTAGGTTCGTACTGCAACAGAACAGGGCTCCCATCACTTCTCAACGTGGGCCAAGCTCCTCTATCCCGGTACTCGGGTTCCGCGTGCGGTAGACATTTAGGGCGGGCCGGCTCCAGGGTCACTGATTGGGCACACTAGACTCATCTGCGCATGCTCAGGGTAATTACTGGCCAGATGAGATCAGCCAGTCCTGGGGTTACACTGCTATTGTCATACACAGTTGTTTTTATTATTGTTGTCTTGGATCCCCAACCAGGTCACAAACTCTAAATGAAGACAGCACAATTTAATCCTGGCCGTCTACCGTCCCACCTTGTTATTTCCATGCATTAGATGTGTGACTAATAGATAGCATGGGACAAATGGACTGCTAAGGAATGTTCTGTTTCCTGCAGAAAGAAGAAGTGAGAAGGAAGCACATTCGCCTGCACATGGAAGGGGCACTGACTGCCCGGGACAAGGTCGGGGTGCAGGATTTTGTGCTCCTGGACGCCTACACCAGCGAGTCTGCCTTTGTGGACAATCTCCGCAAGCGCTTCAGCGAGAACCTCATCTACGTAACTTGACCCGTTTCTTCGCTGTTTTTCTAGGGTGGTTGTTCTGTTCGGGCCTTCACAGCCTTGAAGACGGTAGACAATGTCACTCTATTAAACTAGCGGTGAAAGGGAGGTATCAAGGGACCATTCTCAGGCACTTTGGTGCTTTGTGCGAAGGCTTTTTGATGGCTGCAAGTGACAGATACCCAACTCGCACCAGCCAAAGCCACAAAAGGGAGTCAATCTATCCACGTATGTCACTCTAGGGTCCAGAAATAGATGCAGCTTTTCAGACGACATCTTGAGGGCTCTTTCTCCATCTCTCTGCTTCGCTTCCTTGTGCCTTAGTTTCCTTCTCCTGCAGCCTCTCTCTGCATGGTGGCAAGAACAGGCTGAGATGTATCAGCTTAGTGTTGCTACTGTGAAGAGCGCTTTCGGGAGCCCTGGCTTGTCAATGTTCCGGACGTCAGTTGGCTCTGATTGGCTCATTTGGGGCCGTGTGCAATCCCTGTGGCTAGGAGTGAGGACTGTTCAGATTGGCCCGAATGGCTTACCAGACCCACCCCTGGGGGTGAAGGGCGGGGTCAGAGCCCTCCTGACCTTGTGGACTGAGAACCCCGGGAATCCGGGAATCGGGAAGAGACGCGGAGCAGGCCAAAGTAAGAGGTGTCCTCCGTATGCCTGAGTCTTCAAGCGTCGAGAACGCAGCACTTGACCAAACTCTTCCCAGACTGATCTTGTTGCCTCTAGTAGTGACCAGTTTTAATTAAATTCCCCATTTATCACCACACTGTGAGTCGACTGGTGGATTTTCAGGTAGACTCCTCCCTGGTAAACTTTATAGTGTCCCTGATGTGTCATGGGGTGTTACTGAAATTATTTAATTTGTTTCAATTTCTGCCAAGAGTAAATCAGGCGATCAGAAGCAGTTTTAAAATGTTTGTCTTAGAGCTGTTTTGTTTATGTGACTTAATGTCTGTGTTGAAACCAAAGTTACTAGAGGAAATAAGCATGATGTTTCTGAGAGTATATATGCCACACCTAACTCTCATAATTATCACCCTTAATTGCAGGGTGATAAAAATTGTAAGGTGATAGAAAAAATTTGACTAATTTTCTATATAAGCAAAGGAGAAACAGCACAGTACAGAGTACAAATGGGATGACAGGATTGTCATGATTAAGCTAGGTATTTCCCCTTTGTTCTCTTTCTTGTTTTTCCTTCTCTTACTATCATTCCCAATTTTATTTGACCTGATAAATTTCAGAAACTATTTTCCACCCTGGAAGATCAGCTTTCTACTTATTAGAATAATGCAGGATTTTAGTCAAAATTCTCTTCTCTGTTCCAGTTCTCTGTTTTGGTTCTGGAGATTGGAAGCATTAGTTGGAACGATTCTAGCATAATCTTTTTAATTTTATTTTATTTTAAAGATGTGGGGTACAATTCAGGATTAGGTATACAAATGCTCATTGTACAGGTAAAGCTCGGGCCTCCCTTTGGGCCCCACTTTGCCCAGTTTGAAATGTTACCCTCATTCATGTTATGTGCCTTCCACCCCCACCCCCACCCCTGGCAGTTTCCAGCTTCTGCCAATCCCTTTCTTATGGTATTATGGTAAGTGTTCAGGGTCTGCTTATGAGTGAGAACATGTGGTACTCAGTTGTTTGCTTCTGAGATAAATCACTGAGTATTATAGATGCTAAATTCACCCAAGTTGCTATGAAGTCCATAATTTTGTTCTTCTTTAAGGTTGTGTAATATTCCATCGTGTATATGTACCACAGTTTTTTTTTTTATCCAGTCCAGTTTCAATGGGCAGCACAGTTGGTTCCATATTTTTGCTGTTGTAAATAGTTCCCGCATAATCTTAATGTAGGCTGTGGTACGTCCTGTATTTGAAACAACAAACTCAGAATCTGAAAGAATCAGAAAATACCAGGTGTATTTTCAAAGAAGCCCAGGTATTTATTTTTCTACATAAGAATGAATATAATTATTCATTCATAATTATATTATAGGAAGTTTTATGTCAGTGGTTATATTACAAATATAGGTACTTGAAGAACTCAGTGATGGGTAGAGTGTAATGTTGAAATCCAGGGAAATAAATGCCAGTAGTGGGAGTAGTTTGCCTGATTTTAGAAGACTGGTAGGCCAGGGAGTGAGACAGAAACCAGGTCATAGTGCTTCCCTCTTAAAGCCATCCGTTCAGGGCAAGTATTTCATTTCAGTAGGTGAGGGCCGTGTCTCCACCATCCACTGCATTTGGAATAAAACCCCAGTTCCTCATGGCAGTCCATAGGACCTGAATAGACTGAACCTGCTTCTCTTTGACATCCTCTCTTGCCATTCTCTGTTTTCCCCTCACCCACGGACTTCAGCCATACTGGCCTCCAGCTTAGCAGCCCGCCATGCTTATTCCTTCTGCCCGAAATGCCCTTCCTGCCTGCTTTGATCATGACTGGCTCCTCACCCTTCAAGTCTTCGCTCAGATGTCACCTCCTTGAAGAAGGCTTCCCTATGCCCACTAGCTAATATGGCCTTCCTCAGTTATTCGCTCCCTCCTTCTCCTGTGCACACATTTCTTCACACTGTTCTCTCTTGAAGCTATCTTGATTCCTTGGTTGTTTGTCTGCCCTCATTCCTCCCATGTAAGCTCCCAGCAGAGACCCCACCTGTCTGATTTGTCGTGTTTTATCCTCAGCACTGAATGCACGGGGATCATAGTGTGTGACATTCTTTTGCATCCCAGAATTCCTCATTTGTGCTTTGGTCCGTTCCTCTAGACATATATTGGGACCCTTCTTGTGTCTGTGAATCCGTACCAGGAGCTTGGCATATACACTGTGAGCCAGATGGAGCTTTATCAAGGGGTCAATTTCTTTGAACTGCCACCACATGTGTAAGTAGCATCCACAGGGTCATCACTAGGAGGATTTTTCTGTCTTCCCCCCTTCCTTTTTCTGTCTCTGTCTCCCTCCTTCTCACTGTGCATCCACCCGTCCGTCCATCCATCCATCCATCCATCCATCCATCCATCCATCCATCCATCCATCTGTCCATTCGTCTATCCATTTGTCTATCCATCTATCCATCTGTCCATCCATCCATCCAAATCTTTGATGCACATTCATTAAGTTCTCTGCCTCACTTAAGCCATTGCCTTTTTGTGAAACCAGTCTTTCAAAGCAGTAGAAAACGTTAGTAAGTCTCTATGAAATCTCAGCATAAATATGACAAGAGGTGGAATCTTTGTGTTGCTGGTGAGAAATCTAAGTGTGGCTAGGGAAGCGGGTCCCTACAGTGCCATCTACTGGTGGCTGAGAAGACTGCCGGTTGGTAGAAGCTCACCAGGACTGTGGAAGTTTAAGGTAGGCTAGCTACCTAGTCTCTAGGACTCAGGCTTTGCTGAATTTCCCAATTCTCCTCCCTGGCTTCTGACCTCATATGTAGGTTCTCCCCCCATTGGTCTTGGAGACTCAACTATTTCACTTCCTAAGGCATTTCTAAACCTTTCTGTATCACCACCACATGTAGGTGGCTGAAGGGTCAACTTTCAAGCTCAGCCTTGTGCTGAGATGATACTCTTTGGACACCTGTGGTTTCTGATCTTGGAGCCAAAGTTCTTGTTATAGTCTTACCTCTTGTTCTAAAACGATCACAGAAGATTTTTCATCTCTTTGGTTTCCTACCACTATATTCTTAGTGTTCTGAGTTTTGAGAGGAAAAAAAAAAGAATATCTTATTGTACTTATTAAAACATTTAATATTTAGATAAGATGTTATTTCTACCTACAGCTACTAGGACATCTCTTGGAGATGTAATTTAATTTAATGTAGCTTATTCTTATAAAAATTGATGGATTTTATTTTATTTATTTCTTAGTGTCCTACATACAATCATTCTCAAGTTGATGGATTTTTAAAAATAAATTTGATAAAATTTGAAAAATATTTAAATTACTGCTCAAGTTCTTCTCTTTAGCTCTTCTACTGTTTGAGCTTTTCTATCTAACATTCTTTATGTTTGATCAGTCAGTGGGTCATGATGGGGGCTTGACATCTGTCTGAGTTCAGTGCCCTTGTACCACAGTCTGGATGTGGCTTCCTGAAGGTGGGATACTTTGTTTCTCTGCTTTGGTGGGTGTCCGAGTCAAAGAAAGTAGCGTTAAAACCAATTTGTTTCTGTCTTACTCCGCCAGCTATGCCATCGCTGACAATGCTTACCGAATGATGTGCTCTGAACTCAATAACCACTTCATCCTCATCTCTGGAGAGAGTGGGGCAGGGAAAACAGAAGCCTCCAAGAAGATTCTCCAGTACTTTGCAGTGACCTGCCCAATGACCCAGTCACTGCAGATAGCCCGTGACAGACTGCTGCTCTCCAACCCAGTGCTGGAGGTAAGCGACCTCAGAGGGCTGGTGAGCATGTCCTTGGGAGGTCACCAAGTAAGAAGAATCCACTGCCTGGGCAGGTCACTGTGAAGAAAAGGGATCTCACAGGTAGTGTCATGATTCAGGGTGTGACCCGGAAGCAAGTCTGGCAGGCTTGAAGTCCCATTCCAGCATGGCCAAGCACCTGGAGGCTTCAGCTAGTCCCCCCAAGTGCCAGAGACTGTTTCCTTGTTTGTAGAATGGGTCTGTTCATGGCACCTGCCTCTTAAGAGGTTTGGAGGCTTAAATGAAGTGAACATGCAAGAAACACACAGCAGAATTAAGAGACACTAAAACCATACTTTGTTATGTATTAATATTTTTCTTATGATTTAACTGTAATCATTTGGATATTCTTATTTCTATTGTTACAATTCACTGACTTGCTGCCTTTCTATAAGAGAAGATGTTTACGGTGGAAAGAATTTTGCCAGTAGACCCTTTGAACAAATAATTTGATAAGCGAAGGGGTCTGGTGATGAGGAATATCCTATGTACCTCCCTAGGCCATTTCTAATATATTTCTAGATTAGATTCTAGGGAGAAGATTTTTTTCCCTTCTTTTTCCTGGGTCCAAATATAGCATTTGGCATTAAGTTCCCTGTAGTTGATGATTCCTTCTTAGAAGAGACAATATGGTTGCTGGGTGCAGTGGCTCACACCTATACCAGCACTTTGAAAGGCAGAGGCAAGAGAATTGCCTGCGCCCAGTGGTTCGAGACCCGCCTGGGCAACTTGGCAAGACCTCATCTCTACAACAAACAAACAAACAGATACATAAACTCGTACCAGGCATGGTTGTGTGTACCTGTAGTCCCAGCTACTTGGTAAGCTGAAGTGGAAGGATCACTTGAGCCCAGCAGGTCAAGGCTATGGTGGCTGTGAGCATGCCACTGCACTTCAGCCTGGGTAACAGAGGAAGAGTCTGGAAAAATAAATAAATAAATAAATAAATAAATAAAATGATACAGTATGGCTGCCCTCCCCTCCCTCCTTCGTTTTCATAAAGAGCCTGTCATTTGGGCTCATGCATTTGACAAACACAGTGAGCTTAAATGATGGTGAATGGCACTTTGTCTCCCAAGGCTTTTGGAAATGCCAGAACACTCCGGAATGACAACTCCAGCAGATTTGGAAAATACATGGACATACAGTTCGACTTTCAGGTACACAGTTGTTCTTGCTCCTAGTTCATGAAGACTCTTTATTTTGCCAGTGACAGAATCCAGCTAAAGCACTTTAATGAGGAAGGGCATTCGTTGGCTTCAATCAGTTAAAAAAAAATCCGGTGTTAGCCGGGCTCGGTGGCTCAGCCTGTAATCCCGTGCCTTTGGGAGACTGAGGTGAGTGGATTGCCTGAGCCCGTGGGTTTGAGACTCGCCTGGGCAGCGAGACCTCATCTCTACAATAAATCAAAAAAGCAGCTGGGCGTGGTAGCGCATGCCTGTAATTCTGGCTACTCGGAAGGCTGAGGCGGAAGGATTGCTGGAGCCCAGCAGGCGAGGCTGCGGTGGCCGGGAGCGGCCACTGCACTCCAGTCTGGGCGACAGAGTGAGACTCCAACTCAAAAAAAAGAAAAAAAAAATCCGGTGTTAGTGCCAGCATTAGGAAATACAAATAAAGACCACAGTGAGATACTATTTTATACCTTCTAGGTGGATAAAAATTTTAAGTCTGATAATACCAGGTGTGGTAAAGATGTGAAATTCTTACACACTTGTGGTGGGGAGTACATTGGTGCAACCCATTTGGAAAACAATAGGCTGTTCCAATGATAGGAGACTCCCTTGGGAAGTTGAGGAAACCCTAAGGTGCAACCATTTCACCCCCAGGGACATCCCATGATGGCAGAAAGACTGACCACAGCCAACACATCTGGAGAGAGCTGAGCATCTGCAGACAGGGGAATGGCTAGTTAAATGGTGTGTGTTCACACGATGAGGCATCAGATGGCAGTGGGAGCTGCTCCTGGTGGGGCTGGGTCTTGAAAATACACATTGTGCTGGTGTGATTCCATTTTTCTATAAAGCTTGAAACAGTCCCAAGTAAACAATATATTGTTTAGGCATGCCCACTTGTGTGGCAGGAGTCTGCACACTTTTTTGGATAGGGCCAAATAGCTAATAGTTTAGGCTCTGTGGGTCATACACGCATACAGTCACGGCCACTCAACTCTGTGGTTGGAGCCTGAAAGCAGCCACAGACAATACATGGTGAATGAGTGTGGCTGTGTTATGCGCAGAACTTAAACGAGGCTAATACAAGCAGGGAGGATACTTGGAGGAGACAGAAAACTCAAGGGCATGGAACCCCAGCTGGTGAACAGCTGCTGTCTGAGCACTGAACTCAGCGCTGAGTTCAGTGCTCAGACGGCTCAGGGTTTCCCAGAGGCTGGTATGTGAACCTCCAGTGGAGTGGGAATAGACTGAGAGAAATGTAATAGCTATGGATATTTTATTTTATTTTATTTTATTTATTTTGAGTTGGAGTCTCACTCTGTTGCCCAGACTGGAGTGCAGTGGCCGCTCCTGGCCACTGCAGCATCGACCTGCTGGGCTCTGGCGATCCTTCTGCCTCAGCCTTCCAAGTAGCTGGAACTACAGGCGCACGCTACCACGCCTGGCTAATTTTTGATTTATTGTAGAGATGAGGTCTCACCAAGTTGCCCAGGCGGGTCTCGAACCCGCGGGCTGAGACAATCCACTCACCTCAGCCTCCCAAGGTGCGGGATTACAGGCTGAGCCACAGAGCCCAACTAGCTATGAATATTTTAAAACATTTTGTTGAGGCTCAACACACATACTGAAAAAGCCCTAAAACATGAGGACAGCTCGATGAGTTTTTACATTATGTAGCCACCACACAGGTCAAGCTATAAAAATTTCTGGCATCCAGATGGTGTGGTGGTTCACACCTGTAATCCCAACACTTTAGGAAGCTGAAGTGGGAGGATCACTTTAGGCCAGGAGTTTGATACTAGCCTGGGCAGCATAGCAAGATCCTCATCTCTATAAAAAATTAAAAATTAGCCAGACTTGGTGCTGTACACCTGTAGTCCCAGCTACTTGGGAGGCTATGGTGAGAGAGTCACTTGAGCCCAGGAGTTCAAGGCTACAGTGAGCTATGATCATGCCACTGCACTCCAGAATAAGACCCTGTCTCTTAAAAAATTTTTTTGCGTGTGTGTCGCAGTCTCACTCTGTTGCCTAGGCTAGAGTATAGTGGCATGCTACGGCTACCACAGCCTTGACCTGCTGGGCTCAGGTAATCATTCCGCCTCAGCCTTCCAAGTAACCACCCCGGCTAATTTATTGATTTATTGTAAAGACGAGGTCTCATCAAGTTGCCCAGGGTGGTCTCGAGCCCCTGGGCTCAAGCAGTCCTCTCAACTCTGCCTCCCAAAGTGCTGGGATTCCAGGTGTGAGCCACCATGCCCTACTAAAATTTCTTGTTCTAGCATTCAGAAGACTTTCCTGCCCTCTCCAACACTGTTCCCTCCCAGTGCGTACTGTTCTGACCTCTGTAATCACAGATTCGTTTTGCTGGTCATTGAACTTCATATAAAAAAAAAAAGAACTTCATATAAATGAAATTATGCAGTATGTTCTGTTTTGTGTGTGGCTTATTTTAATCAACAATACCTCTGTGAGATTCATATATGTCATTGCATGTAGCAGTTGTTTACTTTTTGATTTTATGACTATATCACAGCCTATCTATTCTGTTAATGGACATTTGGGTTGTTTGCAATTTGGGGCTATCACAAATAGCACTCTGAACAGCCTTGCCCTTGCCTTTCAGTAGATAGAAGTGCTCATTTATGTTGGGTATGTACCTAGAATTGTCCCAGTTGTTTGACACCCTTGCCAACATTTGTATTGTTAGCTTGTTTTATTTTAAAATTCTGATGCGGTACAATGATTTTTCACTGTAATTTAAGTGATAAATATATCTCCCTGATAAATGAATGAAGTTTTGCTTCTTGGCCACTTAAGGGTGTTCTTTTTTGTTCAAGTCTTTTGCCCATTTTTAATTGGGTTTTCCATTCTTTCTTATTGATTTGCAAGAATTCTACATATGTTCTGTAATAAAATTATTTATTGAATATATTATTTAAATAATACTTAAGATAGTTTGATATTGACACAAGAATAGATAAAGAGACCAATGGATCAAAATAGAGTGCAGAAAGACCCTCACATATACAGGCATCAGGCTCGTGACAAAAGCACCACCGTGATTCAGTAGGGTTGAGATTGTCTTTCCAGTAAGTGGTACTAATCAACTGGATATCAATATGGATTAAATGATATCTGACTTATTCCTCACTCCATATACAAAAATTAAACAGTAATGAGCCACAGACCTAAAGCATCATGCTTCTAGACAAAAACACAGAAAATATCTTCATGACCTCAAGGTAGACAAACACTTTTTAAAACAGAACCCAGGAAACTAGTCATAGGAGATTGAGAGATCGGACTTCATTCAAATCAATAACTTGTGTTCATCAGAAGACACCAGGAAGAGAGTGGCTTGATGATGGTTGTCATGGCTGCATTTTTTGTCCTGTTTTGAAGGGCATTCCCGTAGGAGGGCATATCATCAGTTACTTGATAGAAAAGTCCAGAGTTGTCTATCAAAACCAGGGAGAGCGGAATTTCCACATCTTCTACCAGCTGCTAGCGGGTGGTGAAGAGGAGCGCCTGGCTTACCTGGGACTTGAACGAGACCCCCAGCTGTATAAATACCTCTCACAGGTTTGAAGGACCAGCACCTGGCTTTGGTGACTCCTTGGGGGAGGGAGCCAGGGGAGCTTGTGTGGGCTGCTATAGGATGTTCAAGAAACTTCTATTGCCATTCTGGGATGTAGCCTACTGGCTGATTTCTTGATACTTATCACAAGCAAGCTATACCATCTCCTCTTCCGCCTGACAGCTATATCATCTTGGTAGCATAACCAATGTCTCAGCCATTGCTGTGTTTCTCAGCCCTGGCTGAAATTAAAATCACCCAAGCAACCCTTTAAAAACACAAATGCTGGCCAGGTTCAGTGGTTCAACCTGTCATCCCAGCACTTTGGAAGGCCAAGGCAAGTGGATCGCCTGAGCTCATGGGTTCGAGACCAGCCTGGGCAACTTGGCGAGACCTTGTCTCTACAATAAATAGAAAATTAGCTGAGTGCGGAAGTGCACTCCTGTAGGCTGAGGTGGAAGGATCACTGAAGCCCAGCAGGTCGACGCTGGGGTAGCGGTGAATGTGCCACTGCACTCCAGCCTGGGTGACAACGTGAGACTCCAACTCAAAAAAAAAGCCCACAAATGCCTGGGCCCTGCCCTCCAGAAATTCAGATTTAGTTGATCTGGGGTAGGACCTGGGCATCGGCGTTGTTTTAAATGTTCTCCTGGTAACTTGATGCACAGCTGAAGTGAGGACTGCTGGTCTAGATGAGATAGAAACTCACTGTCCCTCTTTGTCCACAGCCTACCTCATTCTGCTTTCAAACTGCTTTTGAAAAGACCTTTGCCACCTTCCTGGCTTCCATCTTGAGGACTGCTAGCGGCCAGATGAATGTACTACCTTACCGAAATAGTTCAGGCTATTCTTACAAGCAGCCTAGAGTCTAGTGTTGTAAGTTGACTGTCAGTTTGCAGCATTCGTGTTGCTGCAGCCTGTACTCGGGTTCTAGAATGCCCAAATTGTGTGGCATTGATCAGTATTTGATGTCGCTAGTGCCTTTTATTGCCTCAAGGTTTTTTTACTTTTATCTTCCCACTGGACCTGGCTTTGAACTGAGGTTACCTTGCAGAGCACAGGTCAGGCTGCATTTGAAAGAGAGAACAAGTGAAGCTCATAAAATGAGGGTCAACACTTCCTAGAAATCATGGAAGAAAAGAAGCCTTTCTGAAGTTCACCTAGAAAAAGGAAGCTAAATAATGAAGATAAAAGGATCTCATAATCTCATTTTCTTCTTAACAAACTGAACTAACTCTTAGAACAAAGAATAAATCCAATTTAATTTTTTTTTCTTTTTAAGGGCCTAATTTTTCCAACAAAGTTGTGTTGGTCACATCACATTCAGATTTTTCTCTTTTTTTTGAGTTGGAGTCTCACCGTCGCCCAGGCTGGAGTACAGTGGAACACTCATGGCCACTGCAGCCTTGACCTGCTGGACTCAGACAATCCTTCCACCTCAGCCTCCCAAGTAGCTGGAATGGTAGGTGGATGCACACCACCATGCCCAGCTAATTTTTTAATTTATTGTAGAGACGAGATCCTGCCAAGTTGCCCAGGCTGATCTCGAACTCCTGGGCTCAGGCAATCCTCTTGTCTCTGCCTCCCAAAGTCCTGGGATTACAGGCATGGGCCACCATACCTGGCTACACGTTTAGATTTTCATAGCATCATCAGAGAAGGTCAGTTTGTAAAAATATTTGAGGGCTTCGTCCATTTTCCCAAGGGTTTCTCTAACACTTTGATAATCGAATCCTTCCTTTGGGAATATATCATGTCTTTATTCCTGTAGATTTCTTTCTGCCCACATCAATTCAGCCAGATCCTTATGCCCCGGAAGCTTTGGAAATGATTCTAGCAATTTGCCGGTATTATTATTGTTGTTATTGTTATTATTTGAGTCAAGGTCTCTGTTGCATAGTCTGTAGTGCAGTGGCATGATCATGGCTCATCTCAGCCTTTGACCTGCTGGGCTCGTGTGATCCTTCCACCTCAGCCTTCCATGTGGCTGTAACTACAGGCGCATGCCACCATGTCCAGATAAGTTTTTGCTCTACTGTAGAGATGAAGTCTCACCAAGTTGCCCAGGCTGGTCTCGAACCCCTGGACTCAGGCAATCCTCTCACCTCTGCCTCCCAAAGTGCTGGGATTGCAGGCATGAGCCGCTGCACCCAGCCCTACCAGTATTAATTTTAAGTCAATTTCATGATCCCCCATACCTTTGGTAAGTTTTCTGGTTTCAGTTTGCAGGGTGTTTGCACTGCTTCCAACCAGTATGTGTTTGAGGGGGACTGACTTGTCAAAGACCCTACCCTCTTGGGTGGGGAACATAGGTTGCTGGTTGTGTGGAATGGGATATTTGTGAGGTTGCAACTTTTATATTGGCCAGTTCACTAGTGAGTATTTTCGTGGCATTCCCCATGCAACGAAGAACTTTTCTAAGATAACGAATCTCCAGATAATCAAGAAACTCAGAACACCTTATACCACAAAAGCAAAATAATGAAAAAAAAAACACGTTAGAATGTTTTCTCTTTAAATTGTGACACTGGTTGGTCTATGACTCATTTAAAAGACAACTTCTGGAGTTAGTGGGAAAAGTTTCTGCTGGTGATCATTTCCATAAAATCTGTTTCTCTACATGCCAAGTGTTCATTTCCTTGATTAAATATTTCCTTCTGTCTAGTCCTGCAGTAAAGTTTTTGCTGCAGATTTCTAAGGGAGTCAAGATTGTTTCTGAATTTATGCATCCTGATTTACTTGCCTGTTTCAGCAGATATTTCTGAGATAAACTGTCAATTTATTTAGCAAAAATGATGAGAAAACTATGTTTATAAACACATACAAAAAGATATACTGCATACATGTAACTTTGAAAGTTTTCTTAGACCGAAGATTTAAAATAAAATTCTAAATAAGTTTGAAAAAAGCAGCAGTTGGCAAATCACCACATGCTAGACTAGGCATGTCCAGCTTGAGGCCCGCAGGCTGTATGTGGCCCAGGACAGCTAGTAATATGGCCCCGCAAGATCTTTTAATATCATGTGTTTTTCAGCCTTTATTTTCTCTGTGATCCCATGTGTAGTTCCATTTTTGAAGTTCACAGACATGCCATATTCATGACATTGCTTTTTGGTAGCGCATACATTTGTGAGCAGCTGTTTTCAGTTATGAAGCACATGAAGAGCAAAATTCAAAACAACATTTCTGACGAGCACCTCGGGAACTCACTAAGAATTGTGACCACTTCCATCAACCCCGACATTGATAAATTAGTTTTACAAAAACAAGGTCAAATTTCCCACTAGTTTTATGTGTTCTAATTTTTCTAAACTTAAAATAAAAATATAAACAAGAAGTCTTATTATGTATCTACATTATGGTATATAACTTATGTGTGGCCCAAGACAATTCCTCTTTATGTGATATGGCCCAGGGAAGCCACCAAGGTTGGATACCCCTTGGCCAGATGATTAGAGTAAAACCTATTTATTTTTGTTACAATTGAGAACATCATAAAACTAGCTTTTGCGTTCTTATAGAGAGGAATAAATGTGCATGTGCTTAACTGTCCATATGCTAAGTGATCCAGTTTCTTTTGTCAACAGGGTCACTGTGCCAAAGAGTTGTCTATTAACGACAAGAATGACTGGAAAACTGTTTCCAATGCCTTTTCTGTCATTGATTTTACCAAAGCTGATCTTGAGGTATGAGCCCTAGAAGAACTGCTAGTTCCAGTTGGGATTGAGGAAATAGTCCTGATTTCTTGGTGTTTGCACAGTGAGGCTGCCAGAGTCAGCATGTAAAAATAAAAGACACTCGGTTACTTATACATTTAAGATAAATTGAATACATTTTTTAGTACAGATATGTCCCAAATTTTGCATGTGGACAAACTTACACTAAAAAATTAGTAATTCTGGGCTGGGTGTAGTGGCTCACACCTGTAATCCCAGCACTTTGGGAGGCCGAGGTGGGAAATTTACTTGAGCCCAGGAATTTGGGATCAGCCTGGGCAACACAGCGAGACCTAATCTCTACAAAAAAGTTAAAAAATTAGCTGGGCTTGGTGGAGTGTGCCTGTAATCCCTAGGAAGTGAAGTGGAAGGATCACCTGAGCCCAGGAGGTCAAAGCTGCAGTGAGCCGTGATTGTGCCACTGCTCTCCAGCCTGGGCAACAAAGTAAGACCTCGAGTCAAAAAATAAATACATAAATAAATGCTTAGTAATTCCTTATCTGAAATTCACGTGCTACCTGGATGTTCTGTTATCTTATCTGATAACTCTCAGTTTTCCCGATGTTGTGTACAAGGAGGTGATGTTCTTTTTCCCTTAATTCAGTCCAATCTCAACGATTTAGATCTCATAGAATTACAAAATTCTCATTTATTTAAGCTTCTATCTTTGCACAAAGTGGGAAAAAATGCAGCATGTACCAACATTTTGTTTTTACATCTTTTTGTCTTTTTAATTTTCATCTTGCTTGTCAAACTATTAATGTTTCAAGCGCTAGAATGTAGTTTTAAAAATCTGAGATCATGGCACTTGAAAATTACATTTTATTTAATTTTATTGGTATGGTTTATTTTAGAAATGGTTCTATAAAAGTGGTTTATTTTATGAAATCAGTTTGCGAATTGTGTTATGTAGAAATGAAAGTGTCCTGTGTTGGACACAGGACTGGTGCCTGAAGTGAGTTTGAGGGCTAGCTTCTGGGCAAGGAGAAAGGCTGGGTTCTGTGAGTTCAGGTTTGGAATGGCCAAAGGGGTGTTTTCCTTCACATGTCTCCACTGCTGATTTATCATGTCGGCGGCCACCATTCTTCTCCCCTGACCTCCTGGTCCTCTGCTCTGACCACTTCCCATGTTCCTAGAATCTCTTTGGAATTATTGCCAGTGTCCTACACCTGGGGAACATTGGTTTTGAAGAGGACGACCGAGGCTGTGCCACCGTCCCAGACACCCACGAGATCAAGTGGATCGCCAAGGTGACGTTCCTTTTCTGGAGAGGACAGAGGGGAAGGTGGAGGGGTGAGGGAGGAATGAGGGAGGGGAGCAGGGCAGCTGGGTGCCCGCAGTAGGACCCAGTGGCTGACACCATGTTTTTTCGACTGATACTGGCTGAGAAATTTAAAGACCATGGCAGTGGAGCAATGGGGAGTAAAAGCCATTTGGTTGAAAGATCTGATGTACTAAAGCACAGTGATCAGATCAGTCTGTGTGGATAACCTCGGGCCTGGAAACTCTGTGAACTCTTTATAAGTGAGTGGTAGGCCAGGCACGGTGGCACATGCCTGTAATTCCAGCACTTTGGGAGGCTGAGGCCCGGAATTCAAAACCAGCCTGGGCAACATAGGAAGACCCCAGCTCTACAAAATCAAAAAATCAGCTGGACATGGCGGCACTGCTTGGGAAGCTGAGGTGGGAGGACTGCTCGATGAGCTAGGGTGACACCACTGCACTCGAACCTGGACAGCAGAGTGAAACCCTGTTCCTAGAAAATTAAAAATAATCTAGCAAGTAAAACCAGTCACTGAGTAGCACTTTGGGTTCCTTTTATTCAGCTCCTGGGGGTCCACCCATCGATCCTTCTGGAAGCGCTTACCCACAGAAAGATTGAAGCCAAAACGGAGAAGGTAAAAATGGCTCCAGGTGGAAACGTATCTGCCTTTCCACAGCCGCTGCTGCCTCCCTCAGATAACTGCAGGGGGTGACCCTAGGGGAGGTCCAGCTGTTGAACCTTCTCATCAGGCCCTGCCTGCCAAAATCCTGTCCAAACCCTGCTAAAATCTCTTCCCTTTTCCTCCCTTTACCATTACCACCACCACAGCAATGCTAGCACTCCATGCCTCATATTCTCCATGTCCTCCCTCCACGGGGCCTTTGTACATGCTGTTCCTTCTGCAGGGACGCCGTTCCCTATGCTTCATCTAGCTAACTCCTCTTCAGTTCCCGGAGGCCGCTTCCTCAAGGAGTCTTCTCTGGTCTTCCCACCTCTACTGCAGGGCTTCATGTGTATCTCCTCATAGTCCTTGCAACATGACTTGGTGTGATTCTTTCAGTGTCTCTCCATCCCTCCCCACTCCTACCCCTTAATGAACTGTGAGCTCACCAAGACCAGAGCTGTGTGTCTCGGCCATGGCCATATCTCAGCAGCCCAGCATGGTGTCTGGCACACAGTGGGCGCTCAGGAAATAGCTGTGATGTGAATGAGAGCAGGCAGGAGAAGCATCCTTTTCCAGCATGCATGTTTTGCCAGCCGTCATTCAAAACTAGTTTGAACACTTGGGTTGTTTTTTTGTTTTGTTTTGTTTTTGCCATCTATAATGATGCACCTTGTCGTTCTCTTCAGGTGATCTGCCCCTTGACACCAGAACTCTCTGTCTACGCGAGAGATGCAATGGCGAAGGCTGTTTATGGACGAACATTTACTTGGCTGGTCAACAAGATCAATTCCTCCTTAGTTAACAAGGTTGGGCAACACGTTTTGGGTGGCCTGCTCTCACAAACATGATGATGTTTTATAATCGCCATAATTAAGACATTGTGAGAATGGGCCGGGTGTGGTGGCTCATGCCTGTAATCCCAGCACTTTGGGAGATTGAAGTGGAAGAATTGCTTGATCCTAGGAGTTTGAGACAGGCTGGGCAACATAGCAAGACCTCATATCCACAAAAAAATCAGCTAGACATGGTGGTATATTCCTGTAGTCCCAGCTACTCAGGAGACTGAGGAAGGAGGATTACTTGAGCCCAGGAGAACAAACCTGTGGTGAGCTGTGATTGTGCCACTGCATGCCAGTCTAGGCCAACAGAGTGAGACCCCAGCTTAAAAAAAATGTATACACACACACACACATATGTATGTATGAATACATGAGAATGGACTGTGAGCTCCCCATGGGCAGAGACGGTGTCTTTTCACATTCACATTTCCAGTGTCTAGCATACAGTAGCCTCACAGGAATGCACACTGAATGACTTCTACAATGTCCCAAATGTGGAATGCACAGCACTTGTGTTCTGCCAGATGGCTTCAGGTATATGTGAGAAGTATCTATTTATTTTTATTGTTATTTGTTTATTTTTTAATGATCTCACTTAGATGTGGAATCCTTTTTTAAATGTTTTAGATTAAATTTTATTTGGTTATAGAGATATGGGGAACAAGTAAAGATTACCTGCACAAGTAGGCTGCATGCAGGTGAAGTTTGGGCCTCCAAGTAGGCCCAGGTACCCTTTGTGTTGTTTATTTTTATTTTGGGGTCCCCCAGGCATGCAGGAATGCAGTGGCATGATCACGACTCTCTACAGCCTCAACCTCCTGGGTTCAGGCAATCCTTCCATCTCAGCCTCCCAAGTAGCTGGGACTACAAGTGCATGCCACCACGTTCAGTTAAGTTTTTTATTTATGATGGAGTTGAAGTCTCACCACATTGTCCAGGCTGGTCTTGAACTATGGGGCTCAGGCTGTCTTCTTGCCACGTTCTCCTGAAGTGCTGGGATTATAGGAGTGAGCCATTGCACCCAGCCTAGAAACTTTTTATTTTAGCAGTAGTATATTTTAATGTGTATAAGGAAAACTATAACTAGCCCTTCAAACTCACATTTAGGTCACATTTCCTCTTTAAGTGGAGCTATTTAAGTAAAAGGATTTTATTCAAAGCTAGAAATTAAGGAAATGATACTAAGGTATGGGCTGTGTGGATGTGGTGACATTCACAGGGGTAGGATACAAAAGACGGATTTGGGAGGCAGCAACTCAGGACACTCAAACAGAATATAACATTGTGTCCCTTTATAAAAATAATATAGGCCAGGTGCAGTAGCTCACGTCTGTAATCCCAGCACTTTGGTGGGCCAAGATGAGAGGATTGCTTGAGCCCAGGAGTTCATGACCAGCCTGGACAACATCATGAGACCTCATCTCTACAGAAATAAAAAATAAAAATAATTAGTTGGTGTGGTAGCGCAGCTATTTGTAGTCCCAGCTATTTGGAAGACTGATGCAGAAGGATCACCTGAACCCAGGAGGTCAAAGCAGCAGTGAACTGTGGTTGTGCTGCTGCACTCCAGCCTGGGCAACAGAGTGAGACTTCACCTCAAAGAATAATCAAATAACAAAATAAATACATATATTTAAGTATCCATCCTGACCTGACAGCACTTGGTTCTTTATAAGATGATACCAGCCAGGCTCGGTGGCTCAGCCTGTAATCGTAGCACTTTGGGAGGCCGAGGCAAGTGAACTGCCTGAGTTTACAGGTTCGAGATCAGCCCAGGCAACCTGGCGAGACCTTGTCTCGACAATAAATCAAAAACTAGCCGGGCATGGTGGCGCACACCTGTAGTTCTGGCTACTTGGAAGGCTGAGGCGGAAGGATCGTCGAAGCCCAGCAGGTCCACGCTGGTGTGACTGTGGGTATGTCACTGCACTCCAGCCTAGGCTGCAGAGTGAGACTACAACTCAAAAAAAACCCGAAAACAATACCCATACCACCTGTCCTCTTATCTGGATAGTTATCTCCTTGTCTGTCTATAAGTCTTTTTCCTTTTCCTTTTTGGGTTGTAGATAGGCTTGGAAGGCTGAGGACAGCTGATGCAAAGGAGTGAATCAAAGGGGGAAGGCTCAGTGGCTCATTCCTGTCATCCCAGCACGTTGAGAGGCCGAGGTGAGAGAATTGCCTGAACCCAGGAGTTCAGGACCGGCCTGGGCAACAGAGCGAGACCTCATCTCGACAAAAAAATTAAAAAAGGAGAAGGTCTCACTATATAGGTGGTAGACATGGAAGCCATGAGGGGATCCAGGCAGGCTGCAGCAGGTGAAGCAGGCTGGGAAAAGTATTTCCACCACAGGCTCTTCTGTGAGCCATTGATGAAGAGAGAGGGGGCACGAACTTTTGGCCAAGTCCCTTTTAGAGAGGCAGCTGCAGGATTTTGAGTATCACAGAGTAGAAGACCTAACCATGAAAGCTGTGTGTTGTTCTGACTAGGATTTCACCAGGAAAACTGTGATTGGACTGCTGGACATCTATGGGTTTGAAGTCTTCGACAAGAATGGGTGAGTGTTGTCAGTTACATGCCTCCTGGTCCTTTGTTCCTCTTTACAATTTCAGTCGAGGTTTAAGTCATTCTCTGCTGTTACTGGGACTGATTTTTCTGGCCTCAGAAGTTTCCAGATTGTATAAGTCCTAATTCACAGAGCATCCTAGCAGTGGAATAAACATAAAAAATCCAAACAGGCCAGACATGATGGCTCTTGCCTGTAGTTCTGAGGTGGGAAGATTGCTTGAGCCCAGGAGTTTGAGGCCGCAGTGAGCCATGATCGTGCTACCGCACTCCAGCCTGAGTGACAGTGTGAGGCCTTGACTCTAAAAAACAAAAAAAGCAGACATCTTTTAGCTTAACTCTAGTTAATAAATTATTTTACTTATAAGGACTTTGCTACTCTTTTATTTAAACGCATCCTTAAAAATAAGTAAATACAATTTTTAAAAATTGATCTATTTGCATAGCTTTAGTTATTTAAATCTTTTGCACCTCTAGTTTTGAACAGTTCTGTATCAATTACTGCAATGAGAAACTCCAGCAACTGTTAATAGAAAGGACCCTGAAAGCAGAACAGACAGAATATGAAATGGAAGGGATAGAGGTAAACATTTTGATGTTTTCTCCTCGTTTGATTTCTTAACCATCTGGCTAAAGATATTTACTTGATAAATATAATTTCATTGGAGATTTTTCTGATCAGTAGTAAGGATTAACTTTCAATCACTCTCTGCTTATTTCCTGGGAAATTATTTTGATATTCAGAAATTATTGTTTTTAAAAATTAGATGTAAGAATGAGATTTTGAAAAAAACGTAGAAAACCAAGTTAAGACCATTCTATTTTATGCTCATCTGAGTACTTCTTGGAGAATTCTCTCCTCTTTGTCATTTTAGTGGGAGCCAATTCAGTATTTCAACAACAAGATCATCTGTGATTTGGTAGAAGAGAGACACAAAGGAATCATATCCATTCTGGTGAGAAAATGGATGCAGAATTAGAGCCCATCTGCCTAGCATGGAAGAGCTTTTTTCCAGGTTTAAAAAGGGTTGTGGGCTGGGTGCGGTGGCTCACGCCTGTATTCCCCACATTGTGGGAGGTCAAGGTGGGAGGATCGCTTGAGCCCAAGAGTTTGAGACCAGCTTGGGCAACAGAGCGAGACGCTGTCTCTACAAAAAAATGCAAAAGTTAGCCGGGTGTGGTGGCTTGTGCCTGTAGTCCCAGCTACTTGGGAGGTTGAGGCAGAAGGACAGCCTGAGGCCAGGAGGTTGAGGCTGCAGTGAGCCATGATTGTGCCACTGCAGTCCTGCTCGAGTGACAGAGTGAGACCCCAACTCAAAAGGGGGGGGGGTTGTGTATGGAATCCACAATTTAATGAGGGTGTATGTGGAGCCTTTTGAGGAACTCCTGCTTGTGACTTGAGGCCAAGTATTCCCTCCACCCTCAGATTCTCAGGCCCAAGGTAGAGCCCATCAGGTGGCAGCGAGGAAGACCCTTGAAATGCAAGCATGCCTGTCTGTCTTCCGCAGACACAGAATTGGGGAGCCAGTTCAGATGGGTGTCTGCTGGCAGTTGGAGAGGACTGCTTTCATGGTCAGCACAGAGCAGGAAGCCAGGAAGCAGAAAGGAGGGCTTCGCAAAGAACACCAATTGATCCTGAGTTGACGGGCCTCCAGTGGGCTTGCAACCTAGATTCAAATTATTGTGACTTATGAGAATATCAGTGTCCTGGAATCCACAGTTGATCAGAGTGAAACATCCGTTTTTAAAATAAATTATAATAAGAGTACCTGTTCTCAAACCAGGCAACAGGCAAAGTGAGTTCCAAAGGGAGGTCCAAACTTTACCTGTACAACCACCACTTGTATACCTAAATCTGAATGTACTCCACATCTTTAAAATAAAAAGATTTTTTAAAATGTAGTATATATTTCCAAATTGCTAAAAGAGTAAATTTCAAAAGTTCTCATTACAAAAACAGTATTTGAAGTGATGAATATGTTAATTATCTTGGTTAAATTATTCCACATTGTATTCACAAATCATAACATCACTTTGTACCTCATAAATATAAACAATTATAAATTGTCAATTTATAATAAAATAAAATGGTTGTTTTCTTGTTTCTTTAAAAAATAAATAAATTCTAAAGACAAGCAGTGATGCCCTTGCCTTGCTTGTCACTTGGGGTCATCTGCACCACTGTCTGCCTGCCTTTTTAATAAAACAACCACTCTCTTTATCCTCCTGCCTCCCATCCTGCCACCAGCTGCTCTGTGAATCCAGCACTCTCAAGCACAGTGGTAACATGAATGACTGTAGTTTCCAGGAACATGGGCACCACCTGGATTCAAATTCTAACCCCCGTTGCTCTCTAGCTGTGTAACATTAGGCAAGTGTCTTAACCTCTCTGAACTCCCCTTTCATCATCTTTAAATGGGTATGGTGACAATAGGATTTACCTCAGAGAGAAATTGTCAGAACAATTTAAATGAGATGAATATATGCAGAGCACTCAGAACCTAGAACTGTGTGGTGGATGACACCCCCTTCCCCAGAACTACTCCTGGTGCCTAGGGAGCATTCACATTTTTTAATCTTTCCCAAAAAATGCTTATCAGTGCTTACTTGGTACCAGGATTGTGCTTTGTGCTCTGGGACATGGCAAGTGAACACGGGCAGAACACAGAGATTGTAGCCACGGAGAAACAGCAGAAAAGGAAGATTGGGCAGCTGGGGTGGAGGCGAGGTTTAAGTTCAGGTAAGATGGCCAGCGGCGGGGGTTCAGGGGCTCACAGAGAAGGTGACATTTGAACAAAGACCTGGAAGGTGAGGGGGCGCCCAGAGAATCGCATTCTAAGAAGCATGGACCGACGTAAGCTAGTCTGTGTACAGCCAATGTGCATATGGATTGCTGGATTCGTGGTTTTAAACGTTTTAGTCATAAATGCTTGCCTCTGTTTGGTTTTCCTTATGGAATCAGAAAGTATAAAAATGCCACATTATAAAAGTTGTCTCGCCAGCCTTAATCCAGGTTTTGTTGTTGTTGTATTTTAATAAAAGCTCCGGTGTTGGTTCATCTCTAATTTTTTAAGATGGTCAGTTAAAAGGTATCATTCTTGAGGACCAAAAATAGGAAATAGAAAGACATAACTTGAGAAGGATGAAAGGTTAGCTTCTACTGGCTTTGTGGCTTTCTTTGCATGAGGGCTTTGCTCCTACTACAGAAGTCTACACACGGTTGTCTTGGGCAGAGAAGACCGGTTTGGGGAAAATGAGCTTGAGGTCAAGCTGGTCATAGCAGCTGTGGCATATCCTTAGGAAGACGCTGAACATGGCTCAGATAGGTGGGAGGGCTGACCTTTCATGGAATCACCAGTGCCTCTGGTGACTTGGTCCCCTCATCACATCTTGGAAGCTGAGTACAGATCCACCCCTTTCCTCTCCCGGAATGTTCACCCGAACTGTGTGAAACGACAGTATTTTAGTCCAGGACTTTCTGCTGTAGCTGGTGAGAGAATTTAAACTCGGGTATGGATGGAGCGTGGTGCTGTGGGTTGAGGTTCTCTTTTTCCATTGAAGGATGAAGAATGTATTCGTCCTGGTCCTGCTACAGACTTGAGCTTCCTGGAGAAATTGGAAGAGAAAGTGGGCAGGCATGCACATTTTCAAACGTACGTGCTTCGACGAGCTGTTGCTTTAGGGGAAGATCGCTGTATGCCCATTTTCTTTTGTATGTAGATAAAGCTCTGCCAGAGTACAACTGCTTCTTCATATGTGAAAATATCATTATGAACACCAACTCGTATATGTGCATACCTTTGTTAACAGAAATCAAAGCCAAATAAATTACAAGCAGAATTTTAAATATATGTATTTTGTAGGCTGGGCATGAGAGTTCATGCCTGTGATCTTGGCACTTTGGAAGGTGAAGGCAAGAGGCTTGCCTGAGCCCAGGGGTTCGAGACTAGCCTGGGCAACTTAGTGACACCTCGTCTCTACAATAAATTAAATTAGCCAGGTGTGGTAGTGTATATCTGTAGTTCTGGCTACTTAGAAGGCTGAGGCAGAAGGATTGTCTGAGCCCAGCATGTTGAGACTGCAGTGGCCATGAACGTGCTACTGCACTCCAGCCTGGGTGACAGAGTGAGACTCTGACTCAAAAAATATATATATATATTTGTATCTTCCTTTATTTGATGATCATTACATTTTGGACGTGTCCATATGCATGAAATAGTCTTCTTTTAAAAATGCAGATATAAAATTCAGTGGTGTGCAGATCTGAAATATATAAACCAATGAATTTTTTATATTTGTATGTGCCTATGTAACCACCACACCAATCAAGATACAGAGCACAGCATCCCAGAAGATCATCTAGATGTGTAACTTAGTCTTTGACACAAGGAGGAGAGAATTTAAGGCATATGCTCTGGAGTCATCAGCACCTGGTTTTGAATCCCACCTTGGGCCCTTGCTAGACACGTGGCTCGGGCAAGCAGCTCAGTGTTTCTCCTTTACAAGATGAGAATATTAATATACCTACCCCAGAGCTTTGCAGATGGTGACCTAAATTGCCTAGTGCAATTTCTGGCCACGATAAAGACTCAGTAAGTGGCAGTTGCTTTGTCAGACTCATTGTAGAGTACTGAAAGGATAAGGAAGTGAAATTGTACAAGTCAATGAACTGGGAATGGAAAATAGAGCCGCGCATGGTGGTGTGCACCTACAATCTTACTACTCAGGAGGCTGAGGTGGGAGGGTCACTAGAGTTCAGAGTTCAAGCCCAGCCTGAGCAACACAGGAAGACCCTGTCTCAAAAAAAAAGAAGAATAGAAAATAAATTGGGTTACATTCAAAAATGGAATAATGGAATAATATATCACCATGCAAATGAATGATCTATTATTTGGGTAAATCACACAAATGTAAACAAGAGAAGCCAGACACAAAAGGGCACGTACTGTATAATTTCATTTCTATAATGCATGCAACTAGGTAGAGCTAACTTGTGCATTAGATGTCAGGTCATGATGGGAAAGGGCCCAGAGTACAGGTTCCCAGGGCCTGGTAATGCTGTTTCTTGATACAGGTGCTGGCTACAGGGATGTGTTCAGTTTTCGAGAATTAATTGACCTGTATGCTTAGTTTATATGTGCCGTCCCAATATATAGCATAAGCAAGAAAAAGTTTTTATTTTATTTTTGAGTCAGACTCTCTGTTGCCCAGGCTGGAGTGAAGTGGCACACTCACAGCCACCACAGCCTCTGCCTACTGGGCTTAGGTGATCCTTCCACCTCAGCCTTCCAGGTGTCTGGAACTACAGGCATGTGCCACCACACCTGGCTAATTCTTTGATTTATTGTAGAGACCTGGTCTCACCAAGTTGCCCAGATTGGTCTCGAACCCTGGGCTCAAGAAATCCTCTCACCTCAGCCTCCCAAAGTGTTAGGTAATAACTAAGATTACAGGCGTGAGCCACTGCACCCAGCTAAGAAAAAGTAATTTTAAAAATCATGAGGCTGAGCGCAGTGACTCACACCTATAATCCCAGCTCTTTGGGAGGCCAAGGTGGGAGGATTGCTTGAGTCCACGGGTTCAAGACCCGCCTGAGCAACATAGAGAGAACTAACTCTACAAAAAAAAAAAAAAAAAAAATCAAACAAATTAGCCAGGCATGGTGGCACACACCTGTAGCCCTAACTACTCAGGAGGGAAAGGATTGCCTGAGCCAAGGAGGTTGCAGCTGTGCTGATCCATGATCGTACTACTGCATTTCAGCCTGGGCGTGAGACCACTACACAAAAAGATTTTTTTTAAATGGTGAATCTCTAGAATCTGAACAATGATGTTTCCCAAGTATTTTAGTCTTTCAATACCATAAAAATGTAAGGCAGTAAAACTGTTTCTTAGTATTATCTAGAAAAACAGAAGTTGGTTCATTTTGCACATACATGCGCTTCTGTGGCTCTGGCTCACCTTGAATTTTTATTCCTTGGTGTTTATGAGAAGGAAGTATCAAATTTTAAAGAGACCTTGACCTATAGCCAGAAAATGGATAGCAAGTTTTCCTGGGAGCCTTTACACGTGGCTGGTTTTCAGAGTGGTCCTTCAGTTGATTGTGGTGCTCCTAAACCACTGGCGGAAGACGTCTTTCTCACTCTTTGCTTTGTATGTTGTACTCTTGTCACCGTGGAGTGGGAGGGTTCAACTTGCACCTGTTTCTGTCTTGTAGCCGTAAGCTGGCTGGTCCAAAGGGCCAGAAGAGGATTGGCTGGATGGAGTTCCGACTTCTCCACTACGCAGGAGAGGTCACCTACTGCACCAAGGGTGAGTGGCCCCTGTGTGTGTGCCCAGCCCAGTGTCCTGAAGAAAGCATGGGAGTACACTGAGGAATGCTGCACAGCCATCCCAGATGTTCCCTTGCCTTGCAACCGAGCCACTTTGAACAGTCTTTTGTTGTTGTTGCTTTTTTTTTTTTTTTTTGAGACAGAGTCTCACTCTGTCACCCAGGCTGAAGCGCAGGGGCATGATCATAACTCCCCACGGCCTTAACCTCCCGAGCTCAGATGAACCTCTTGCCTCAGCCTCCTTAGTAGCTGGGACTCTAGGCACGCACCACCACACTGGTGAGGTCTTGCTATGTTGCCTAGACTGTCTCGAACTCAGCTGAAGTGATCCTCCTGTCTAAGCCTCCCAAAGTGCTGGAATTGCAGGCATAAGCCACTGTGCCCTGGCTGTTTCTAATGGTATTTATTATATCTATATATAGCCACTTTATTGAGATAAAATTCACATATCATATATTTCACCCCTTTAAGGTGTATGATTTAATACTTTTTACTGTACTCACAGGATTGTGCAAACACCACAGCCAACTTTAGGACATGACATCACCCCAGAAAGGAACCCTGTACCATTAGCAGCCCCTCCCTCCCACACCCACCCACCTCTGACAGCCCCAGGGAACAAACTCGTCTGCTTTCTGGCTCTATAGATTTGCCTATTCATATTTTCTGTAACTGGAAGTATACAATACATGGATTTTTGTATCTGACTTCTTTCGCTTGGTATAATGTTTTCAGGGTTTATTGGTGTTTTCATTCCTTTTTACTGCCAAATAATATTTCATTATATGGATATACCACATTTTGTTTATCATTTGTCAGTCATTCACTGGTAGGCATTTGGGTATACACTTTTTAGCTATTATAAATAATGTTTGCCTCAGCCTCCTTAGTAGCTGGGACTACAGACACGCACCACTACACCCAGCTAATTTTTTTATTTGATGCCTGCCTACGTTTTAGTGTGCACATATGTTTTCATTTTCCTTGTGTATATACCTGAGCATGCAATCACTAGATCATATGGAACTCTAGACATAACTTTCTGAGGGACAGCCAGGCTGTTTTCCAAAGTGGCTGTACCATTTTACAGTCCCACCAGCAGTGTATGAGGGTTCCACTTTTTCCACAGACTCGCCCATGCTTAATATCTGTTATATTATTCTATATGTTATACTTTGTTCTACACATTATGTCTCTGTTCTGTGTATTATGTTAAATTTTCCTGGCCTGCCTAGTGGATATGAAGTGGTATCTCATCGTGGTTTTGATTTGCATTTTCCTGATGACCTGTTATATTGAGTTTCTGTTCATGTGCTTATTGTTTATTTGTATATCTTACTTGGAGAAATGTCTATTCAGCTCCTTTGCCCATTTTTAAGATTGGGGTTTTTATTTATTATTATTGAGTTGTAAGAGTTCTTTATATATTTTGGATACTAGACCCTTATCAGAGATATGATTTACAAATATTGTCTTCAATTTGGTAGGTTGTATTTTCACTTTTTTGATGGTATCTTTTGAAGCACAAATGTTTTAGTTTTGATTAAGTCTAAACTAATTCTCTTGTGTCACTTGTACTTTTGGTTTGAAGTTATTTTTATTTTTAAGTAAACTTCTCGCTAAGAAACTTTAAAAAGTGGCTGGATGCGGTGGTTCATGCCTGTAATCCCAGCATTTTGGGAGTCCGAGGTGGGAGGATCACTTAAGGCCAAGAGTTCAAGGCAAACCTGGAAATATAGTGAGACCCCATCTCTACAAAGAATTAAAAATTAGCTGGGCATGTTTGTGTGGATGTGTAGTCCCAGTTATTTGGAAGACCAAGGCAGGAGGATCACTTGAGCCCAGGAGCTTGAGGCTGCCGTGAGCTATATGATCATGCCCCTGCACTCCAGCCTGGGTGACAGGGCAAGACCCTGTCTCAAAAAAAAAAAAAGGAATAAAAATAATACACACAAGCCGGGCTCGGTGGCTCAGCCTATAATCCCAGCACTTTGGGAGGCTGAGGTGAGTGTATTGCCTGAGCCTGCGGGTTCAAGACCCGCCTGAGCAACTTGGCGAGACCTCATCTCTACAATAAATAAAAAAAAATTTAGCTGGGCGTGGTAGCGCGCGCCTGTAATTCCAGCTATCTGGAAGGCTGAGGCAGAAGGATCGCCAGAGCCCAGCAGGTTGAGGCTGCGGTGGCTGGGAGCGTGCCACTGCACTCCAGTCTGGGCCACAGAGTGAGACTCCAACTCAAAAAATAATAATAATAATACACATATAAGACTAGAAATTGCTGACAGCACAGAAAGAGAAAATGAAACTGCCTCTTCACTGCTAGTCTCTCCCTGAGGGAACCACAAGATCGAGCTTCTTGTAATTACTTCCAGGGAAGTAGAAATGCTTTTATACATACGTGAGGGCATACACACAATTACATTTTAAAAACCTATTATTTTGTGTTATGTATTTTTCATTTTTGACTTAATGAATACTGGAAATCCTTTGGATTCCAACTTAAGTTCCTTGACCAGATACAACATGCTAGGTGCCATTTCAAGTGCCTTACTCTTTATTCAAAACCTCATAGAGCCTTGTGAAGTGGGAACATTATTATCCTTCTATTTTTTTGGCTTCTGTTATTATTATTATTATTTGAGTTGGTGTCTCACTCCATTATCCAGGCTGACATGCAGTGGTAAGCTCATGGCCACCCCAGCGTCCATCTGCTGGGCTCCAGCAATCCTTCTACCTCAGCCTTCCAAGTAGCCGAAACGACAGGCGCGTGCTACCACGACCGACTAATTTTTTTTAATATATTGTAGAGATGAGATATCATGTTGCCCAGGCTGGTCTCGAACTCACAGGCTCAGGCAATCCTCTCTCCTCAGCCTCCCAAAGTGCTAGGATTACAGGCTTGTGCTTTTATTATTTTTAATTGACACACAATAATTGCACATATATGGGGTACAATGTGATGCTTTGATACATGTTTACATTGTAATGATCAGATCAGGGTAATTGATACATCAATCACCTCAAGCATTTATCGCTTCTTTGTGTTGAAAACATTCAAAATTCATGCTTTAGCCAGGCATGGTGGCTCATACTTGTAATCCTAGCACTTTGAGAGACTGAGGCAGGAGGGCTGCTTAAGGCTAGGAGTTTGAGGCCAGCCTGGGCAACATGGTGAGACCTCATCTCTACAAAAATTTTGCTTAAACAGCCAAATGTGGTGGTGCATGCCCATCTACTCAGTAGGCTGAGGCAGAAGGCTAAGGCTGCGTTGAGCTGTGATCATGCCACTGCATTCCAGCCTGGCTGACAAAGTGAGGCTCTGACAAAGAAAGAAAGAAAGAGAGAGAGAGAGAGAGAGAGAGAGAGAGAGAGAAAGAAAAAGAAAATTCACTCTTCTAGCTATGTGTAAATATACAGTAAATTATTTGTCATTATAGTCACCCAATAATGCTACAGAACACTAAAATGTCTTCCTCTTATCTAGCTGTATTTTGCATCTGCTAACCAACCTTTGGCTATTCTTCTCCCCCGTCTACTAATGTTAATATCACTGTATTATGGTCCAGAGATCCCCAACCCCTGGGCCATGGACTGGTACTGGTCCGTGGCCTGTTAGGAACTGGGCCACACAGCAGGAGATGAGTGGCGGGCGAGCGAGCAAAGCTTCATCTGTATTTACAGCCACTCCCTGTGACTTGCATTACCATCTGAGCTCCGTCTTCTATTAGATCAGTGGTGGCATTAGATTCTCATAGGAGCACAAACCCTATTGTGAACTGTACAAGCGGGGGATCTAGGTTGTGCACTTGCACTCCTATGAGAATCAAGTCCCTGATGACCTGAGGTGGAGCTGAGGCGGCGATGCAACGCTGGGGAGTGGCTTGTAAATGCAGATGAACATGAGCAGTGAGGTTTAACTGTACAACCTCTGCCCCCAGTGGTCCATGGAAAAGTTGTCTTCTACGAAGCTGGTCCCTGACACCAAAAAGATTGGGGAGTGCTGTTATAGTTTATCGCTCCCTTTAGAGCTATTAAATGTTTGCCTCATAGACTTGGGAGCTCCAGTGTTGGGTGCACAGATATCTACAATTGCTATATCCTCCTGCTAAATTGATCTCTTCATCCTGATATAGTGACCTTCTTTGTCTCTTTTTATAGTCTTTACTTGTAGTCTTTTTTTTTCTGATATAAGCATGGCTACTCCTACTTTTTTGGTTTCCACTTGCATGGAATATCCTTTCCCATTCCCTCACCTTTGGTCCAGATGTGTCTTCATAGATGAGGCGAGTTTCTTATAGGCAGAAGATAGCCAGTGAAAGGCACGGGAAACAGCCAGAAGGATGTCTCCCGAGATGGCGCCAACACTAGGGAACCTAACAAAGACAACAAAGGCCGTAAATTCCTGCCT